TAGTCTATAAAATCCGCTCATAAATGGAAAGCAGTTGTTATGACACAATCGCATCAATTCCAATTGCCTGCAAGCATGTATGGGTCACCACATATGGATGCAGGTAGCATTACACACGGTCACGTTCTTTAATTATTTTTTTGGCAAAATATTCCCTAAGTATGGTTTCAGGCCGTGAAGCTATTTGTTATGAAGAAACATATTAAAGCTCAGCACAGATTCATTTAAACCTTAGGATGGTGCCCCAATGACCTAGACCAATAATTCAACAGTCAAAATCAGGACGATCCTTCTTCAGCTTCCTCTACAGTCAATTTACGAAACTCTAATTATAATAATTGGCATTATTCCCAATATTATCGATAGTATTATTTTTGCCCATTATTTTTGATAAAAACCCGAGTCACCTCGGATGTTTTGATTCGGGGTAAAAACTGATGGTTGAGTTTTCCTCAAATTTCCGCAAAGATCTTAAGATGCTAGTGAATTTAATTATGTTTTATTACCCAAAGAACCTTCTTGAATTTACTAAACAGTAGTTTAAAATCTTATCTGGGAAAGTGAAGAGAAATAGGTGAGTAAAAATTGCATTTCTTTCCGCATAAGAAAGCGCTTTGCTGGGCAAGGCTGAGGTTAATGCGATGGTACCATGGGACCTGTTTTTTTTTAATTATGGTAAACTCAGTTATTAGTCATTATATCACCTTTCTATGTCTAATTTATTCGAGATCCTACTCGAGCTCAACTGATAGCCTGGAATCCTACTTATTTTTTTATCTCGTGATATTGTAAAATTGGCTTCTACTTATTCCTTATTTAATTCGTTTCTTTTGGCCATAGTGGCCCGTCGTACTGCTCTTTCTCTATCACACACAAAGTCCTTACCTGGAGCAGTTTTGTCGCGATGTTCTCTGCCACCCTGGCGTAGAGCCAGGACTGGAACTGAAGCGCAGCAGTTCTGAGAAAGTCTACAGCAGCACATATTTGGGCACATCTGAACACTCACAGCCCCCTGTAGAGACAGGAAAACCTATGCAGGTATCATTTTCAATCGGTTCCTTCATATCCTATTTCACTTTTTTTTTCTAGAATATTCACTTAACTGTGCCTAGGCATTACCACCCATTAAAACATAATTTGCCTGTAGTTTACTTCTCGTTTCAGGAATTCAGTTGATTAAGTTTAGACTTAACTTAACTTTTAAATTAAAGTGCGTGCTGAAGAGTTTTGTTGATTGATCTCACCAGAAGACATTATTTTTCCATTGACCTAATATCGCTTGTTTTTAATGGAAGATTTGAGTTGATGCAGTTCTAAAGATATATTGCTGAGATTTCATCTGTCAAATGAAGTACGTCCTTAGCGAAACGACGCTTTCTTATGTCTATCCCGAGCTGTGAAAACTAACCGGCTAGTCTTTTCCTGTTATATATACCTATGCAAATGTTTGCCTAACTTAATCACTTTACGACTTCTACCTATACTGAATCACATCTTTGTGTGTGCGTGTGGGTTCGAGCTTAGATGTATGCATGTAAAGACATACAAAATCAAATGATAGACATAACTAATCAGATTGGAGCAGATCATCAAGGCCTAATGATCATGTCTTCTTAAGACGATTACAAAATACCAAACAAGCTTTCGTTTGAGGTATAAGAGTTGTCGTCAC